AAGAGTGTCGGAAGGTGGACCAAGGGCAGAATGTTCTCCAAACTGGAAAGGTATCTTGAGACCAAAGGATGAAATAGTCCATTCCATGAGGTAAAGCAGAGTTTTATTGCAGGGTAACTTACATACAGAGTGATGGGTCAGGTGAACGATGACCCAAAAGCTTATGCCAAGCTTCTCTGCACCTTCTCCTGACCAAGTTCAGGTTTATATAAGCAGTTTGTAAATAAGCTCCAAATGTTGATTTAGGTGGCAAGGCTGGCTTATCCACACAGTAGTACTTAATCATTCCTTTACTGTCAGCAGATTGTTCCTATTTATTGTTCTAATTACCTTACCCCTGGTTACTGTATAACTTTATGGATTAAACTCTCACAAAAGACATAGCAAGCAGTAAGGGCTCGTGATGCAGCTTGTTATTCTCACGTTCCCACATAAGAGCCACATACATATATACACAGAATGTTTTAGGCTTGCTTAGAAGGGAAGTTTGGCTATGTAAACATGACCATGGGAGGGAGTAGGAGTTACATGTGATGACAGATACAGCTGTGCAGAAGGGAAAAAGAATATATCTATCTGAGGATGAAATGGGCTATCAGTGGCAAAGCACCAATACATAGGTAGGATAACCTCCTATTGGTTGAAAGATTCCACAGGCATTGAGTACTGACTGGGTAATTGGAGATCTCTACCAACTGTAAGAGTCTATATTCTATCATCATGACATTTATCTTTTGTTTTAAGACCATATTTGCTCTATATTTTATTAATTAGATTTTATTTTTATTTTGACAATTCCAAACTTACAGAAAAGTTGCCATAATAGTGCAAAGAAGGTCTGCATCCCCAAATTTATTAAATGTTTACATTTTCCCCATTTACTTTACCATTATATAAGGCATATAGTATATATGCAATATGATGTATGTATATATTTATTCTCCACCTCAGAATAAATTGCCAGTATCATGCCATTTACCTTAAGAACAAGAACACTATAATTATAAAAATTAGAAATTTAATATTGGTATAATACTATTATCTAACTCAAAGTGCATACTCAAATTTAGTCAATTTCCCAATAATGTCTCTTGTAGTTATTTTTTCCCTTCATCCAGGATCCAATCCAGTATTATATTTGTCTCTTTAGTCTCCTTTAATCTGGACCAGTTCCTCAGCTTTTCTTGACCTCAACCAATTTGAGGGATGCAAGCCAATTGTTTTATAGAATGTCCCTTTACTTGGGTTTGTCCAAGTTTTCTCATAATTAGATTCATATCATGCATTTTTGGTAGAAATGCCATAGAAGTGATGCTGTATCTTTCTGAGTGTGTTATATCAGGAGGCACATTATGTTGGTTTTTGTACATTTGGTCAATATTAACTTTGATCACTTGGTGAAAGGTGTGCTTTTCAGATTTCTTCACTGTAAAGTTGCTCTTTCTTCCTTTGTAATTAATAGTTAATTTGTGTGTAGGTACTTTACCACTATATAAATATCCTATTTCTTATCAGGCTTTCACCCACTAATTTTAGGATCCATGCATAATTTTCTAATTTTATGAATCTTTCTACATTTATTAGTTGGCACTCTACTGTAAGAAAGAGTTTTTCTTCTCCTCATTTATTTATTTTTTTGCTTATTTATTTGTACCAATATTTATATCAATATGGGCTCATGGATTCTTATTTTACTCAATATGTTGTAATCCATTAATACTTACTTTGATGTTCAAATTGTCTTAGATTTGAAGAGTGGGAACACGTTTGTTCTGGCTTCTATGTCTATTGGAAGTGGTCCCACCACTATTTCATAATTTCTTTACTTTCTGGCTCAACAAGATACTCCAAGCTCATCTTGAACTTTTCTGCTCCAATTATGGAATCAGGGATATTTCCCAGGAGCCGTGGATTTTTAAAGTGGATACTAGTAGTTAGAAAGTAAGATATAGGTGTTAAGTGTGCTCATTGCTATGCTGTCATTGTGACATTTGCTCATTTCTATCCTATCACGTGCTATAACAATCATTGCTATGGTTGTTAATTGTCCTTTGAGATTTAATGATGACACACTCAGAAGCTGCATTGGAGTTCTGTTTATAAGGACAAAGTTCACTGACTGACAGGTATAAGGAAAATGAAAACAAATGATTCCTCCCTCAGCTGTTCTGAATCTTGCTGAGAATGACTTAGTTTGTCTGTTGTAAATACGTTAACTGCACACATGTGCTCAGGTGTTCCTTGGTTATCTGACTCACTCCCAGGTATTCCCTGATTATCTGGCTTAAGTATAAAGGACAATTGGCTCTGATCCATAGTGCCCCCAGGACACCCATGGGAGGCCACCAGGGGGCTGCTGGGGTTTCTGGAGGCTACCAGGGGGCTGCTGGGGTTTCTGGAGGCTGCTGCAAGCTGCTGCTGCTGCTGTTGCTGTGGAGGCTGGAGGCTGGGAGCTGAGCTCATGTCCAGATAAAGCATGTCAACCTTGCCAGAGGCTCCCAGGATCTTTTTCCAATTACCTAGCTTGTGACCTGTGTATGAGGGGTCTGTGACCCAGTCTGCACAGAACAGGTTTGAAGGGTCTGTGACCCAGCCTGACAATTGGTGTAGTCATTAGCAGGGGAGCCATTAGCCCCTTGGGAAGGGGAGAAAATGTGGCTACACTTGAGGGTACCCAGTGGCCACTTTCCTGTTGACAAGGGTCTGGCTGTTGTTCACTGTACTGAGAGCCAACATGGACCAGGCATGTCAGGAATCAATGTGGTTTTGAGATTTGAAACAAAAGGCAGACATGTTAGAAGCATAGGTACATGCTCTGGAGGCTGAAGTGCAGCAACAGGTCACCCCTGCTTTCAACATCAGGGATGATGATGAACCTGATGGTGAGTTGGGGGAGACTGTGTGTCTCCTGGCATGACCTGTCGTTCATCAGAA